CGCCCTGCTCCTCCTGCTTGTTTTCTTGCTGAGAGGGCTGCTCTTACACTCATTCCATGCAATGGGAGGCCAGCAGCATGGCTCCTGATACCTTTTACCTGCATCCCAGCCCAAGCTTGCTTCTGGGCAGGATCCTGCAAACACAGGACCTGTGTATCTGCTGATTGCTGCTGTTTGTCCCTAGCCTGTCAGAAAACAGAACCTTGTGTGTACCCCCCTTGTGAGCATCAACTCCCCAAGCCTGTACTTATTTTCTCACTATCTAATGTCTCCTTGTTAAAAATTTTATCTTCTGTGGGACCAGGGACACCACCTTACCCACATATAGCTGAAAAGCTACCTCTGTGCTGAGCCCATGGTAAATGCCCAAGTAATCCTGTCAGCTTGCATGTGAGAGAATCAGTAATCCTCTAACTCGCAAGGTTTGGTGCAGGGAAGGCTACACACCAGTGTTGCAGATCCTTTAATTCATTACCGAAGCCCGCCCTCACCCTGAGCATCATAGAAGGATGCTCAGAGGCAGACGTGCATATCAAGTGGGGAGGACACAGTTAGTTGTCTGAAGCGCGGTGTTCTCAGAAGAGTTAGAGCGACTGTCACAGCCCCTGACATATCCGGTTTTTATTAGTTTTGATGGTGACTTGATGTTGTTAGGGATTCAGGTCTCGTCTTCGCCTCTGAGATCATCTGAATAACGTTGGTGACAGGGAAGGGGATGTGGAGGATGAGGCACCCACAGGCACCCTGGATCAGACTATATAAATCTGGGAGGAGGCAGCGGCAGGAGAGCCTGGCCTTCCCAGCTTGTCCGGCACAAGGCTGAGCCACAAGCGAGAGACGTCGGAGAGGAAAGCGCTTTCCTTCACCCCAAGCGGCCATGAGAGGGGCCATGGGAGTCTCAGTCGTGCTTCTCCTGCTGACTGTATCTGACTCTGCGGTGATCACGGGGGTAAGTCCAGCTTTGTCTGTGCCCCGTGTCAGCACCTGCACAGGGTGTGAGCCTGGAGACTGCTTGATGACCACGAATGGAGGGGCGTGGGGAGGCCACCATCAAACAGCACCTGGCGGGGGGACTGTATGAGATCTCAGATTAGTCACTCCTCCTGCTGAAGGGCAGGGTTGGCTTTTGAGGAGCTGTGCATGAATGAAATCTTGTTTTAAAGGCACGAAGAGAACATGAACATTTTAAAGTTTGCTCCTTTGCTAAAATGAAAGTTGTGTAATAGGGAATTCCTTTATAAAGTGGGTTAGCGCCCCCTAATTTATCTTGTGTGTAAAGTTTGGTTTTATAAGGTCCACATGTCAGTCAGGACATAGTATATTGGTTTTGTCAAAGCGTGAGTTTATTAGCTGCTCTTTTGTCAGTTTCACCTCCTCTGTGTCTACTTTTCACAAGGGTTAAGAATCCCTTCTTCCCTACTATACCCAGTTAGTTGTGAGTGGATGTTGAACCAACGTCGGGTCGAATACACCCTAAGCGAGTGGAAAGGGACCCTCACGGCACAGGGGCAGCCCACAGGCCCTGCACTTTTCATGTTGAAATGCCCCAGGTTGTGGGTCTTCTCATATGCCTGATTCCACCTCAAACCACTCTTGCCTGGGCACACGGTGGGTGAGGGTGGCAGGACCATTTTTATTAAAACCAAAAGCAACGCTTCTCTGAGAGCTTTCTGGATCAAAGTCACAAGAAAAAAGAAGGGGAATTAATTTTCATTTCAACCTCTTCCAACTTTTTATTTAGAGAAGGGAGATGTAGAGTAATGCCAAACAATTCCTGGAACTGGAGTAGTCAAAATGTTCAGAGAAAGGACAACTTCATTCTCCTTTTTTAGAGGACAACGTCTGAGTTCAAAAGAAGAACAAATACTAAGGAAAACCAGTGCTTTGGAGACACAAAGCAGAAATGAAATTGTGAAGGCAGAATGACATCCTGCGGGTGTAAAGTGCTGAAGGCTGGCCCCTGCTGTGTGCCTGGAGGTCTGGGTGGGAGTAAGAAGGAAGGAAGGGAGGAGAGAAGCCAGGGGTGGCCCACAGTGAGGGACGGAGCACATGGGAGACCTGGAAGCCCAGCTGTGTCTCACTGGGGCCACTCCAGTGCCTGGGTCAGAGTGGTGAGAGAGAAAGCTAGAATTGGGGAAATGTGTGAATGGCAAGATGAATAATTAAAAATTAAAATTGACTGGAAGTCAAGGGCTGACCCACGATCCTTTGGCCACCGTCCTTTCCCCATGTCCGGCTGGTGTCCCACACGTGACTCTCAGGGGGAGACCTGACTCTACCCTCACCAGACTCCCTTGATCCTGGACTGTGACTGTTCCCAGTTCAGGTTGTATGGCTCCTTCTCACAGAGCAGGACAGGAAGGCCGCACCACTGCAGGAGCACAGTTGAGTGAAATCTACTTCCCCACCCTCAGCCCCAGGAGACTGGCTGGGGTGTGAGATGGGCCATTGCCAGGCTGGAGACTGGCAGCCTCCTCAGGGTGAAAAGGAACTTGGCATCTCCTCTCCCTCCCAGGGCCGAGAAGGTTGAAAGCTGCTAGTGCGATCCAGTCTCTCACAGGCACTAGAAGGTGCTCTGTGGCCTTCTGCTGGGGAAGAGCAAGCCAAAACCCAGCTTTGGCTATCACATCAGTAAAGACAAAAAGTCCAAATTGGTCAGCTTGGGACCTTTGCCATCAGGCCCTGCCTGAAATCTGGAGCGGTTTAGAGTTCTGTTCTCCTGACCCTGGCTTTTATGTGAAGTGGGTTTGTGTGGCCTTCTTTACAAATGACAAGGCCTTGCAGCCTTTTCTGGGAGCCCAGCCCAGCAGAGAGGTGCTAGGGAGAGACAGCTGTTCACAGCCCTGAGAGTCAGGGCCAGCATGTGGAGGGGTCACCAGCCACAGGTGCTGGAGCAGGATGGAGAATCCTGTTCAGAGACAGCTCAACACTGACCGCCAGGGGTCTGGGATCCCCACCCACTCCCAGGATTCTAATTAATCCCATCCCACCAGCATCCGCTGTGAATCCGCTGGCCTGGTGCTAGAAAAGCTGTGCCTCTTAAGCCTCCAGACTTGTCAGACAAGGAGAACCACCTCCCACCAAGCGGCCCCAAGGCCGGGCAGTTCCTCAGATCCAGGTCTGATGCCCTGCAGAGCCCTGAGCATCCTTCCTGTAGGGGGAGCAGCGACAGTAACCAGAGCCCCAGGTATCCCTAGGCGGAGGCTTCTTCCCAGATCCCGATGGGGTATCTGGTTCCTCTGGGGAGCACTAATGGTTTGCCCCCTTTCTCTGCCTCTGCAGGCCTGTGAGTGGGACGTCCAGTGCGGGGCCGGTACCTGCTGTGCCATCAGCCTGTGGCTGCGGGGGCTGCGGGTATGCACCCCGCTGGGGCGCCAAGGAGAGGAGTGTCACCCTAGCAGCCACAAGGTATCTCACTGACACCGGGGGTGGGGGTGCCTGCCCGCGGGCAAACCAGGGACTGAACCAACGGGCAGTGCTGGGCCGGGTCCAGCTGGGGCTTCTGAGGGCAGGGCAGGGAGGGCAGCCTGCTCCTCCAAGGCGGATCTCCCGGCCTGCAGGAAGGGAGGCAGGAAACATGGAGGCACAGTGTCCTCCCCACCTTACTTAGTGCCCTAAGGGTGACCTTTGTGCAGTGTACACAGCCTGACACCTGCAGCTTTCTAGGCAGGCCGGAGGATCACTGATGTTATTTGATCCCCACGGCAGCTCTGGTCTCTGCTTATGAAACAGGTACAGCCCGGTCATGTGACTGGCTCAAGGCGCACAGACAGTGAGACAGCTGGCCCTGGAACTTCGGCAGCGCGTTGCATCTCACTGCTGTTGGCACTGCCTCCTCTTTTGGGGTAGAATGGTGGTCCCAATCACCCAGGCTCTTAACCTTTCATTTGCAGTGTGGCATTGGGGAGTTAGCTTAACTGCTCTGGGTCTCATGGGTGCATCGAAGAGAGTGAACTAATTACCTCTGTAGTCCCTTATGGATCTGAGAAATTTAGTTTTTGAAAGAGGCTCAAGTGCCCCCTGCTGCCTAGGGACTTCCCTTTAAGAACATGAAGACCAGAAAATGGCCTCTCAACTCCTGGGGCATCAGTGCAGACATGTATCTTGTAGGCAATAAAAACCAGTGCTGTTTCTTCCATGCCACTCTTTATACCAAGCTTTTTGTCACTATATTATTTCATATTGTGAGGGCTACTGATCCACTGTAAAGATGATTATGTTGAGGCACAGAGAGGTGAAATAAATGGCTGCTTGATGTATAGCTGAGAAGGGTCAGACCTGGATTTGAACCTGGGCAGCCGACGCCGGACCTATGCCCCTAACTACTCCTATTCAGAGCCCTGAAGGATTCCTCAAGGCTCAGCGCTCCTTTGGGATGGGAACCAGAGGGCAGGCCCGTCCCTTCACAGCTGCTCCAGTCACAGAGTCCGGCATGTAAGAGCTGCTGCCTGCACCCCAAGCCCAGCTCCTCTGCCCACTGGCTGTGTGATCTTGGCACGTCGCTCAGTTACTCTGTGCCTGGGTTTCCGTCTATACTTGCTAATTACGCTAGGTGGTAGGAGGTGGGTGGGTCATTTGCCAGGGCTGGGGGGGCCAGTGGCTCCTGCGGAGGCTACCTTCCATGTGGTAAGCTCTCACTCTCTTCTTTTCCCAGCTACCCTCCTTCCGGAAGCGTCAGTACCATGCTTGTCCTTGCTCGCCCAACCTACTGTGCACCCAGTTCCTGGACGGCAGGTACCGCTGTTCCATGGACTTGAAGAACATCAACTTTTAAGAACATCTTAACAAGCAGGGCCTGGCCCCGAACACAGCTTCTTTTGGGCTATGCGGCCAGCTTCCCCTAACACCCACCCCTCTGTGCTGCAGCCCCCATCCGGTCCCTCCTGCCTTGCTCACACATGTGCATACCTCCCTCTGTAGCAGGGCCCACAGGCTGACCCGAGCCTGGTTCTCTCGACTGCTCGGGCTGCCTGAGGAGTTGTGAATGTGGAAAGGACCTTGCCTCCTCCCTGGGCCCTGGCCCTGACCTACACGTGCCCTGTCCCCCTGAACCAGACATTCCTGAGCACAGGTCTCTGGGTACCTTTCTGAATCATGTGGGGCCTGGGAAGACCAAACCGAGAGTTGTCCATCTTCCTCTGATTATAATTCCATACATTTAGATCTCAGACCCAAGGCTACCAGTTCCCAGACAGCAGAGGGCTGTCCCTGTGAGGTGGGTGTGGGGAACTGGAGAGATCAGGCAGCCTCCTCACAGCCAGCTTGTGGCCTGTGACCTTCAACCTACCCACTAGATCAGAACTGCAGGGCCTCTAAAGCACCCCCTAACATTCTTTACCGAGTTACCAGTGAAGCCCCCAATTCTCAGGGGCTTCCCATTAAAATGCAAATGGTAGGCTTCAGTCTAATCTGATAGCAACCTGTTGAAGGCAGCCAGAGAGTTACCTAAAACAGCCCCCTGAGAACAGACCTGGAGGAGGGCCATCCCCAGTCTGAAGGGGAGAAAGGCGTAGAAGCAGGGACGGAGAAGACAGGGAAGAAGAGAAGGAGAGGAGGACCTAGGTGCTTCAGCTTTGGAATAGAAGGACAAAGCCCAGGTGCATAGGCACAGAGCTCCTGCCTCTGCTTTAGCCAGGGCCAGTGCCTGTGTGAGGCCTGGCTGTGTCCAGGGGAGGAAGGGGAGGGGCTGGCGTTCCTTCTCCCAGAAAGGGCGATAGTTTTGGAGTCCATGGATGTCAGGGTCTCTTTGAATGAGTATTGAGAGGCAGCTCAAAGACTGGTAAAAGTTGGAAAGGTTGGAGGCAAGAAGGGGGCTGTGTGCTGGTGTGGAATGGGGAGTCTTGACTAGGAGACTGCTTAGCTGACTGTGATGTCTAATCTTGATTTTCAACTTGACTGAGGCACCTTGGAGATTAGTAAGGCACACTTCTTGGTGTGTCTTGTTTAGAGGGACATGAACTTGGAGATTATATCTGTTCCCACCTCCTTTCTCTCTTGCTCTTTCCTTGGCCTTTGCTTCCTGACAACAGCTTTTCTCTGTCATGCCCTTCTGCCATTGGTGTCCCTGCCTTGCAGCCAGCCTACCATGGACTGAAACTGTGAGAAAAAATAAACCTTTATTCCTTGAAACTGTGAGTGTCAGATATTTTTTTCCCAGCAATGGAAAAGTGCAGTTGCAACTCTGATTTCTGAAATTTGTCGTATACTTAACCCCGGCAGGTCGCTGATAGCCCAGGGTACGGCAGGCCATGTCAGAGCCAGGCAGCAAGGCCCCGAGCCTGCCCCTGAGCCTAGGGCTGGGAGCTCCCTCTACGTGCAGGTCATTGCTGCTATGGACTCTTCCACACCTTAGTCTTTATGCTATACAAATGGAAAGTATATCAGATCCCATTTGATTTCTCAGGAGCCTCAGAATGATTGGAGTTTCTAAGCCCAGAGCTGCCGTTCTCCCTGAGAGCTTCTTCTGCACCTCTGCTCCCTCCCTTCCGAGCCTCCTCGACAGGCAGTCTTTACTCCAGGATCCACCCCTTGCCATGCTCTCCTTTAGCAGGCATCTTCCCCTGTTCCCTGACTTGTGCAGAATTTCCCCTCTTGAAGCCCACACATCACTTTCCCTCTCCTTGCCAGGCTCGTGATCCAGTTGTAAAGTTTCTTTTCAAGTCAAGACTCCAATTTTGCTACCCCCGTGCTCTGGATCTCCAGGGACTGCTGATTGCTATGAGACCATAATTGTGGGGGCCCTTCCCAAATCGCACTTCTCCCAGGAGCACCGCCACCCTTATTGCTCCAGGGCTGGAGAGAACAGATACTAGGATGTCCCTGGTTGTTCCTAAAACCACCCCCTGCCCCCCACAGTACTGCCCTCGCTATCCTGGCCTATGAAAGGCTAGCGCAGACACATCAGTGGCAGAACTGTATTCACCTAATTGAACCTACTCTGGTCTTTTGTAATGGAATTTTGAGAAATGTATAACTGGGCTGTACCCCAGTTCCCTGCTGCTCAGACAGGAGGGTAGGCAGAGGGGTTGTTGGGGAGGCTGAGAAAAATACATGTGTGAGTATTCTTCCACATTTAGGAATACATTATTCATACATGTAGGCATGTAAAGACTCTACTTATAAGAATGATATATCTCTAAGGCAAATGTATTCTAGAAGAATAAGATCAGGCGAGGCTCATATCCCTTCCAGATCCGATTTCAATGTTTACCTACAATTTGGCTGCAAATCTTTCATCAGAAATGGTGGTGTCTGGCATCATCTAGTGGTGAAAGTGGGGATAACACAGAACATTCAGGTAGAAGAGGCCATCGCTTGAAAGCAGATGGGATCATTCCCCAGACATTCCCTGCTGTTGGATTCAATCAAAGATGTAGAGGGCCAGTGCTCCCATCTGCGGAAGAATTCTGACACCCAGGGACCGCAAAAGGCACACTTAATTGTCATTTGGGGCCACATCTCATCCTAGAGACCTCTTGCCAGTTTCCTGCTGTGATTTTAGGACAGGCACTAAGGACGTTGTCACAGTTTATCCAGGAAAGTGGATGTGGCTGAGGGTCAGAACAGCATGACTGACTGTTCTTCACCTTCCCCTGTGCACCCCTAGGACTTGCTTGAGTGGATTAATGCAGCTCCCCCGTGAGACTTTCCACTCAGCATTTGTGAAGAAAGGGCCGCAGCGTGCCCTGGGAGCCTCCCACTTGCTCCTGACTGTCCTGTCTCTCCTGCTTGGACACAGTGGGGAGACAGCAGTCGGGTCTTGGGAAGACCCCTTGGCCTAGGTGGCAGAAGGGATGTGATTTATTACCTCGGCCCCCAGCCTGTCTCTGTTACCCACAAACCACAGAAATATCAGCTCCTGTTCCATGCTTTGAGGAAGAAATCAGATGTGTGGGTCTTTGAAGGGCTCTGACCTCTGGGGGCCTTGACTTGTGTGGGCCCACGGAGATTCCAAGGCCCTGTGGGAGCCAAGGGTCCTACAGGTGGGGGCAGATGGTCAGCGAGCAAGATTATCGGGGCCTTTTCAGAGAGAAACCATGGGCAAGAAGCCAGGGGCTCATTTCTGACAGAGCCAAGTGAGAGGAGTTCTCACATTGTCACAAAACTAAGCCCCAAAGATTAAGCAAACACATATGTTGAAAGGCAGTTTGACATTTTGTTGGCAGTTTGCATTGTGATCATTGGTATTTCTCAGGGAATTAGTGGCGGTTACCTTGTTCATGTTTCCTGAGCGGTAGGAAACACAATGGTTGATTTGAGCCAGCCTGCCCTGGTTCAGCTAATTACTACTGAGGGTCTTTGGCCGGGTTACTAGATGCTCTGTGCCTCAGTTTCCCCATCTGTAAATGGCAATGGTAATGACACCATCGAGGACTGTGGGGAGGGTTCCCGTTGGTGCATGCGAAGCCCTTTAGGTGAGGCCTGTCATTTGGAGGCGCCGTGGGAATGGATGATTTGTTTTTGCTTCTTTATGAGGACATCTCAGTCAGTCCTGGGCCTTTGGACCAGCTCACTAAGCTAGGGTTACCAGGAGGCCCCTCCGTAGTGGGGTAAACAGATCAAATGGCCAGGAAGGAACTCAGACCTCTGAATGTGCTTCAGCAGGAAGAAGTCAAGTCAGATCTGCTGTTATTGTGAAGGACAGACCCACAGGTTTATGTAGGCAGAGCTCGATAACAACCCATCTGGGAACAAAGATACGTAGCTCTTATCTAAGTGCTTTTTAATACCTTGTTTAAACAAATGAGTCACTGTTTCAAAGAAAAATGGAATGTTGGCTCAATATGGGCTCTGATCTTAATACTGTGCTATTCAATTTTTTCCCTAGAAAAAGCATAAGGAGAGTAGGCTTTGACTTCTGTTCTGGCTTTTCCCAGATTGTGCTCAAATCAAACCTACCGAAGTACATGTGTTCCCTGAGACAGATGTCACCCTTGCCAGTGGCTACCCCAGGCGTGGGCAGCGCTAGGAAATGTCACTCAGCCCCTAGACTGGCAGTTCCCAGCTCTCGTGGGCTTAGCAGCATCAGAACAAAATGTCAGGGTGAAGAGTCCCAGGTGACCATGGGGACTGACTTACGGGGACCTTTCACTATCTGCAACTCTGACACCAAGGTCCCTGTACTTTCCACCCCCATGGAAACATGGCCCCCGATGAGTCAGTCACCCCCATGTCTGGGGGGAAATTGGTTAGACAAATAGTGAAAATTCAGCTTTGCTTTCCAAGAAGCAGAGGCCGCTTCCCTTATGGAGAAGCTCCATTTAAGGAAGGCTGCGAAGGAGAGAGGAGGCCCCTGGAAGGGGCAGTAGTTTCCGGTCGCTCAGAGGTCCCTACCCGCCCCACCTGGATGCTGGAAAGCACTGCAGGTGCAGAGGCCACTCTGGCAGCTCCACTGAAAGGAGTACAGGTGTCCCGCACACCCTCTCAGCCCCATCTGGCGCCCAGCTGGGGAAGTCTGGGATGATGTGGGCCACTTGGTGTGTAGAAGGGGTGTCAGGGAGTCAGCACAGCAGAGAACAAGGTCCAGGCCTCTCTCCTGGGGGCTACCTCACTCCAGGAGCCTGAGGAGCTGCATCAGGAGCCTCAGCGCACCCCAGAGTGAGGGTGAGGGACGGGAGCATCCCCGGTCACTCTGTTAGGTCGGCCCAGCCTACTCTCATTAGCCCACAGAAGGGAATTGGAGCAGAGGCTGGGGAGCAGGCCCGGGGAGGCAGGGTCAGAGCAAGGAGCTCTTGAGGGCCTCAGGGGAACAGAGCACTTAGGAGCCTTTGGAGCCAGCAGGGTCACTTTGCCTGCTAGAGAAAGATGAGAGAGAGGCTCTTCACTAGCTCTCTGCTGGACGGCACGGTCTCAGGGCCCTCATTTCCATCCTCTCTGGGGTCTGTGGGTGCCTCTGATCATAGGGACGCTGCCTGTGGCCAGCATTTCTTAGACAGCCTCTTGCTCCCAGGAGGACAGGAGAGCAGTGGCCTGGGAAGGCCTTAGATGGGGTGTTCCCAAGGTTCCCTGAGCTCCTGAGGGGCTGGGGACACTCAGGGCTGCATCTGGTCATGTGCTGTCCCACAATCTCCCACCCATTCTCTTGGTTTCCACCCTCGCCTCCACCTCTGTGAGGGGCCGCTCTCTTCCTGCCCCGTCTTCTCTGCCCTCCAGGACCACAAGTTCAGATGGCCTGTCAGCTCCCCAAGGCGGCAGGTGGCTCTGAGTCTGTTTCCGAATCTGACGAATGCCGGCCCCATGGGGCTTTCTTGAGGGGTGCCCACAGTGGCATTCCCAGCCTGCCCTCATCTGGGGGTACTTGATAAGTACCCAGAGTGCTGAGCTCCATCCAGACCCACTGGATCCAGGTGTCTGGGAAGCTGGAGCCTTAGCAGTCTGAGGAATGTTGGACCCGGATGAGGCACGGGGACCCCCTGTGACTCGCCCTTCCTGGTGTGAATCCTGCCTCTGCCAGCCATCTGCTAGCAGTCTGGGGAGGCACCTTCTCCAATCCCAGCCTCCTCTTCCTCAGCACCTACCTCAGTGAGATGGGCAAGCCGAGGGGCGGGCCACAGAGCTGCCAGGGAAGGGCGGTCAGCGGTTCCTAGGTGAGCTTCCGGAGCGAAGTGCTCCGTGGGCTGGTAGACAAAAGTTTTCCTTCTGTGTATACCAGGTGGGTTCTGCCTTCCCTTCTGCACCCACCAATCCCCAAAGGGCAAACATGGACAGGTGGTTAGGTGGCACAGGGCGGCCTGCCCACTCGGCCTCTGACCCAACAGGAAAGCGACCGAGAGGCTGAGCTCCTGCAGCCGGCTCCGGGCTCCCGTCCCGGCCCTCGAGGAGGGTGTCAGAGCCCTGCTGGCTCAGCCT